TCATCAAGGTGTTCAATAACAGGAAAGTGAGCAAGTTGTGAGCTCCAGAAGTGAAGAACTTGAGAAGGCAGTGCCTGTCTGCTTGAGTGAGGACAGAAACACCATCCTGAAGGAGGGCAAGGAGACCCTAATAGGCGATGTTGAGCAAATTGATGACTGCTACCTATCATTGTCAAGATGCATCCAGATAAGAACTATTGCTCTGATGTAACCTGCTAAGACCCAGTAGAGGAAGAGGAGGAGCCAGTGCTCACCTCTAGGCCCCTGGGAACAAATCCTTCAAGAACAAAATGATCTATACCAGCTCCAATAATCCCATCAAAAAGAAGTAAATATGCATCAAACATGAAGTAACAGAAACCTGCTATGAGGAGACCAAGGACCACTGCATTCTGACAGAAAAACTCAACAGTCCTGCTGCCATCTACCTGAGTGGCAAACTTTAAATAGCTGCCTCTAATCCCTACCTGGAGTATCTAGCAGTTACCAGACAGGCTCTTGAGTGTTGAAGATCATCACTTTCCTGATAAATTTAGAAGCAACTGGAGGGATCCCAGCAAGGAACGGGCAGCCCCATCACTGGAATTGTCAAATACCATCACCACCACCACTACAACAACAACATCACCATGTATGGCCCTGATTTCTCCATCCCTGGTAGTTCTGTTTTTCCCAAACTTCTTTTGATCTCTGATTCCTCTTGGGTTTAAGCAAACAAAGTCTTCCATACCAGGCATCTAGATGGGAAGGGGTTGCATTTTTATGTCATCCCAATTCCCCATTTATCCCTCTGCACCTATCCCTCTCAATCCCATGCTGTAACATTCCAGGCAAAATAGTGATCCTGCTTGCTTTTTAGCTTTGTGTATAAGTGGAATGTTGTGACCCTCCCTGCACCAGCTGATTACCTTCCCCTTTCCCTGATTTTGGCTACACCACAGTGAAAAGAAAAAATTACCAAGGGAACCTTGGTTTAAAAAATTAAGGTAAACTAAAAAGGATAATTCATAAAATGAGATACAAAACATAAAAGATAATTCATTTTCACATATTCGTATGAGAAGACTGTAAGTATAACAATTAGTTCTCACAAAATAATATCAGCATAACTGAAATACACTAAGTGGAGAGAAACTGAGTAAATGCAGTCAGTCTCTGGAACACTGGCATTACTAAAATACATGATGTGAGCATCACATGCAGTTTGTTCTGTAAAGAATACAATAAGCAAGATATTTGACTCTGTGCACTTGACCATAATGAACAAACCCTGTCTTGGGAACTTTAAGCGAAGTCCTTAATTTGGATAGAACCTTCATACATATTGCTCAGTAGATTTTAATGCTATCAACTCTCTCATCAGGAAAATGTAACCTGCTGTTTAAAAAATAGTATTTTGGAATATCATAGCAAAGCTTACACTGTGTGTAAAGTTTATCATCACAACAATTTTTCATAAAAAAATCTAAAATCTAAAGTTGTCAATCCACTTCTTTTTGAGTTTTTCAGTCACTGAGAAATAGCAGCTAAGCATGAAGAAAAAAATCTCTTAAAAGCATTGACTTTTACAGTTCATCCCAACAAGAAAATTGGCTATTTACTTGTTTTACATTTAATCTCCATGCTAAATCTGAAAGTGCATTCTCAATAACAACTAGAATAAAAGACACTGGGATAACAACATGAGACGGTAAAAGCAGGGAAAAAGCTCATTGGGGGATCTAACCTCTTCTACATATATAAGTTTTAAGTTGAAATGACACAGGTTAAAGGCTTCAGAAAATGTTATCAAGAGGATTTTTATGAAACAAGAACTTACCAAAGAGATAGGAAGCCTTTCTAGACGTCAATTCCTATAGGCAAGTGCTTTCTATGAAAGATTAATTTTGTAGCTTAGTATTTGGTATGCTTTTAGTTAACTGAATATAGAATAAAGAAGACTATTCAAATGAATTTAGTTAGCATTCACCTTCAATTGATTGGCACAACAGAAATATTAGGCATTTATTTTCCCTCTTAAATACATAACTAAATAGCATACTGATGCCTTCCCAACAGTTAAATTTGACAAAGTGAACTTCACTGATGAAGACTTACGGAATTAAATAATTATTTCAAAGAATTCTGAGCATGCATTCTATACATTATCCAGAGTTGATTATAAATATTTTCATGATCCTCAAGATGGTAGAGCCATTTCTAGGTCCCTAAAGGACTGAATAGGGCTAAATATAGACCTACTCCCACACTCCATTAGTTCTGATAAAAGTAAACATGTAAGGTTGTAGGGAAATACATAACAACACTGTTTCATTAATTTATTCCACCAGTATTATGAATAACAATGATACATAAGATGAAATTGCCTAGAATTTCAAAATAAAGCAAAGGAGGTAATTGAATGGAATGGAAAGATCAGGTAAGAATTTCTAGAAACTATATCATATGAAATATTCAGTTGTTATCTGCCAATGTCTTGTGTCTGCAATCATATCCTGAATTTCTACAATCTTATTGTGACTCTGTCTTTACTTAAGTACTTAAACTATTTTTTCCACTCATTCACTTTGTGGCTTTTTTTGACTTATAGTTGTTCAGCTTATAGTGCATTATACACTATATGATGTTACTATACACATATAGCATGTGGTAATCAGATCACTGCAATTGACATATCCATCACTTCCACCGTTGCCATTTGTTTGTGTGAATAACATCCCAAACCCTTCTACTAGGTCCTTCAATGCATTTGATTAATTAATTAATGTCAACTACGGTTACACTTTGGTATTATAGAATATTAGAGATTGTTCTCCAGTCCAATAGTCTCCGTGAACATATCCCCTTTCCCATTTCCTTTCCACACTCTTCCCAGACTCTGCCAACCAATAGTCTACATATCTATCTTATCCACTCTTTGACCAAAGAATTCTTAGTCTGGTACCATATCCTTGGTGTTATAGACAATGTAGCCATGAGCATGTGGGTGTAGACACTTCTTTAATGCACCACTGACCTCAGCTCTTTAGCTTTTTACCAGGAATAAGATTTGGGGATGATATGACAGCTCTATGCCTATTTTCCCCTGCAATCCCCCTGCCATACTGGTTTTCATTTCCAACAAGCCTGTAGTTTTCCTTTCTCTGACTGCTTATTAGAATTTTATGTAACTCTTTTTAATAAAAGACTGTTTAACTGAGGTGAAACAATGTCTCATTGTTGGCTTAACTTGTATATACTACATACACTAGTATATGCATACTCCTAGGCAGTTTGTGCAGTTTTCACAATTTGATTTCCTATATGCTCATTTTAATATAATATCCTCATTTAGAGATGACGTTGGTGTGGATACTTGTTAAGGTGGTCTCACAGTTAGTAAGATGCTAAGCAGCAAATCCAGCATTTAAACGGCCTTCCCCTTACGGCCATAGTTTAAATGCACAACATTGCATTACAGGAAATATTTGGTCCCATCAAATTATTAATTTTGCAGTGCTAATCTACTTCAAGTACTCTCCTTCATGCATAGAAGCATGTGGTTATGAATGTTTTCTATCAAAAGTGGACAGAAGTGGCTGGACCTGACAGACACTATTCTGCATCAGCCTGTAACACTGGAAACTTTACAATGACTTCTAATGATATACCAAAATGTTATCCCTTGCCCCCCTGAAATATAAATACATAGCAAAAAATATTTTACTATAGTCAAAAAATGTTTTGACTTGAAATGAAATTGTTCACTTACGACAAACAACTTCAGTGAAGAAACGTCACTGGAAGCAGAGAACATTGCTTGCTTCATGGTAGCTATCGCTGTATTAATTTCTGTGGTTAATGTATTTTCTGAGTGGAACTATATTAAATCAAGAATATTGCTTGGAAGACATTGACTCTGAATATATTTATCATTTTTTATTTTAGTGGATATTAGCAGCAAATTTAAGTCAACAAATATGAATACCCTCCTCCATGCTTGAGCCATTCACGATAGGTTTCTCTACGTGGCTTCTGATTTTCATTTATCTATTTCTGTGGCTACTATTTCCTCAGTGGGTATGCTAATGCCTCCAATTAACTTAATTCAAATCTTGTAGCTGAAGAATTAATCTGTCATCCAAAGATTTCTTTGTATGTTTGTGACAGCCTCTTTTGTGTTGACACTGAATTTCAGCAATCAAAAAAACAGTCTCATCTTGTGCTTTTTCATTTAGATTTCTTTCTAATATCTCTCTGCATAAAGCTGTAAGAAATGAAAAATATCACCAGGTGTGGTGCTACATGCCTTTAATTCCAGCACCGGGAGGCAGAGACTCATAGATCTCTGTGACAATTTGGTGAGTTCCAGGCCAGTCATAAATATATACATTGAGTCTCAAAAATTTTAAAATTAATTTCAGGGTAATGCAAAGCACAGGACAACATCTCACATGTTTGTGAGGAATAAAGATAAATAATGGCAACTGTTTCCTCTCACTTAGAATAGAAACAGTGTACCCGTGAATTAATCATAGGTACTGAGGCCTGAACCTAGGGCCTTGCCCACTTTAGGGACACAGTCTAGCGCTACCCTACATCCCCAGCCCTGGTCAATCATTTATTCATATTCATCTTGATTGCTGGAATAAAGCTCTATAAATCCCTCCTATGAAAGGAGTTATTTCATAACTTCACTAAGCCCTATCCCATGCAAGAGCTGGGGAAAAAAAGATGCCCAGAAAATATATAAGCTTATAAGCAGCCTAAGGTGCTGAGCTCTGTGCTCCTGTGAATGAAAGAGCTATGTCTTCAGGTGTGTGAGCCGCAAGAGCAAATATATCCCAAGAGCCACAAGAGCACTGCTATACCCCTATTCTCTTTTCCAACTAGGCAAATGCCAAGAGGAACATTGACCCACACACGAAATGGGCATTGTCAGGAGGCACCAAATGTAAATCAGGTGAGTTCATGCACTGCAGCTCTCCAGGACTGGATTGATTTAGCCAAACCTCAATTGATTCACTGAGACCAAAACAACTTTATTCATTTTTATTATTATATCTTTATTTATGGAACAAGACGACAGAAAGATGACCAAGAATTCAGGCATGGAAGCTATCTGAATGAACATAAAGTTCTATCTAGTCATATCGAAACTGGAGGATACTGAAGGGAATCAATTTTTTTTTGTCTGAAGAATGATGAGGTAGCTTTCTCCAGGGACATGTCGTGAGTCCAGGGAGTGTTGCTTTAAACTTGGAAATTTCTGCTCGGTGTCAGCACACTGGCGGTTCAACACCCTCTGATGTGCAGTGAATGATCATGCCAGCCTTCCTTGTTCCAAGCTCTGAAAATAATAGCATAAGAACAAGAGAATAGAATCAGTACAGAAAAGACAAAGGTTATTAATAAAAACAAGGTTACATAAGCAAAAATTATTTTTAAAGTATAGTAATGGAACATATATATTTCTCATGAAGCTTTGCTGTTACATTATGTTTTAACAAACATCAGAAACATTAGATATGAGGGGTAAGTTTTCTTATGTTTAATTACACACAAGGGGTTGGCCATATTTGTTCTGGGGTTTTATTTATTTTTGCACGTTTTAATGGATTTTCCTCATTTCTTATCAATTAAATGATTTCTATGAATGGAACGGTATTTATCAAACATAATATAGCAAAGTACCATAAAGAAAAAATGAGAGAATGATTCTTGGGGAGATGTGTTACAGGTCCTAAAAATTCAACTGTTCTACCGTAAATGACTGAATGATAGCAAATCAAACTCATCCGCTGGTATATGGTATCATATGACTTTCCCCCCACCCCCGCCACCATTTGTGATCATTAGAAACAAACTGAACCATATTAATAGAGAGAAATCAGAAGAAATAAATATGAAAAACATATATTTCAAAAGAAAAAACTTAAGAAATATTCTAAGTGAGAAGTAATTACTATTTGGTAGAAAATTGAGGGAAAGTCAAGAAATAAAATCTTATTTGCACATCCACTACTACCTACAGATTGGAATGCCAGTCCACTAATACACATTAAGACAATTAGTGGGTTTAATAGGAAACAAAATTTAGTAGTGTCTGAATAAAAAGGCAAACAATAAACCATTAATAGTTTCGTGGAACTCATAAAATAAAAATAAACTTACAGAAATAATCTCAAGCTTGACCATAATAATGCAAGAAGAGTTCATCTCAAAGATCATCTAATGAGCCCTATGCAGTCAAATTCTGAGAGAAAGGATTGGACCTCTAAGTCCTAACAAAGTATTATAACAAGATTCTATTTCAGTTATGTAACTGAAATTATGACTGTGGGTTTCTAAAACCAGAAAATCAAAGAGGAAACTGAAGTTCCCACCAAACTTATTGTCTTTCTTGGAGTTACTGAAAATACTGCATTTATAGATCATTATTTCAGTGGAGCATTTGGTTTGTATTTTCTGTAATAGTTATATGGATTAATAAGCAAAAATGAAGACACATCCCAGTTCTTTTTCATTTTTCAATATGCAAAAAAAAATAGCTTAGACCCTGAGTGTTACCTGTCTTGTTGTATCTGCCGCACCTGTCCTCCTGCGACACATCTGTGGCGCACACTATCAGCCAACTGTTAATCAAGGATCACTTCCTTTCAAAGTGACTGATGAGCCACTGCCACAGCAATTTACAAAAATAACTTTTAGAAAAGGTGATGCAAGGGTTTCAGACGCATCTCTCCCGTCCTGAACGTTCCATGCTTGAAAGTTTGGGTGTCATTAATCAGTAAATAGAAAATTTTTTTAAATGGCCCGTTACATTTTAGAAATAAAATACCATTGACGACATTTTCATTTTGATTACAAACAGTGATAATGTCTGAGATTGGCTTTTAAAACTGCTAACGAGCCCTGGCAATGTGGAAGAGATATGACTTAGATAGACGCAATGAGGTAGGATTAAAGGGTGCTAGCACTGAAGGGTGCCGGAGAAACTCTGCTCAGAAATAGTCTAATTAGTGCCTGACAAAAAACACTTGGCGGATAAGATTTCTGAAGAAGAAAGGTTAAGACAGACAAATATTTTATGACAAAGCTGTTTAATTTTTCCCCTTTGGTTGTTTTTTAATAACCTCAACATCACACTGAAACTCCATACATAAATAATGTTCGTGGGCTACTTGATGCAAATCGAGCAGACAACTGAGTGTTTGAATTGCCAGGCACGGAGCGCAGAAAATGTGCTAAGGCATCTTCTCCCGTTTTTGCTGTACATTCTCTTTGTTGATTTATGTAATGTAGCTGATAACATGCAACCTACCCTGATTTTAAACAAACAAGTGAACTTTTTAAAAAGCTTCCCATAAGTTGCTAAGCAACTCCAAAAACACATTTTTATTAATTTAACAAATAGCATTCAGATGACAAGTCCCCTAAGATGGTTTCTACCTCTGCTGCTACAAAAAATAGAAAATCCAAGCAGATACCCTTCTGATTTCCCTTCTCTAAGGCCCCGGGGCAAGTCAAAGATGTTGCCTTCTTCAAATATATTTTTCTTAGGATGCAAAATAATATTTTTAGTTGAAAATATTATTTAAAAAAAATTTAGACCCAAGGACTCATAGTGGAGCTGTCCAAAATATTCCCAGGCCTGAAGATTTGTTTTCCCAGGTTCCACTGACAAGTTGGATAGGAGAATTTGAGGGTGTAGGGGACTAAACTATGAATCATAGGGTGCTTTTTAGCTTCTTACAAACCTACCTACAAGACCAATGGTGCCCCCAGTAGTTTCTATAATTAAAATTTTCTGTAGCTGAAAGCAAGATAACTAGAGACAGTGGATACAGTAGAAGGACAACTTGTTAATAGGTGAAAATCGCTTCCGGTGAATATGGACATGAGTCTTAAATATAAAACACATCCTGAGCCTCCCTGGTCATGGCGATGTCTCAGGATTTATCACCACTCGTCAGTCCCTACCATCTCCATCACCAATGGTAACGAAAAACAAGTAGCTGCGCAAGAGGATTCTGGGGCGCTGCTGCTCTCTGTGTGTTCATGGCTTATGCTGGAGTCTAACATTTCAGCGTACTTTCCACTGCACACAAACTGTAGTAAGGGGCACAGTGGTTATTGTAATGATGAGCCTTTTCTAGAAACACCATGTTCCAGAATTTCAGCAAAATCTTTTCTTACTCTCGAATTTTCTCTGCATTCAGTATTTAGCGAGAATGCATTAAGAGTAAGTAGTAAGGGACCGAAGAGATGACTCAGGAGTGAAGAGCGAATGATGCTCATCCAGAGAACCCAGGTTTGATTCTCAGCACCCTTGTTGCTTGCTGCTAGCTCACAGATGCCTGTAATCCCAACATCAGAGGGACTGATGCCTCTGGCCTCCTCACAGGCCTGCATTTACATGCTCATACCCACACACATACACAGAATTACTTAAGTTTTATGTACCGTTGTAACAGTATTGTTAACAGTCTTTGATAGGGCATTTTTGATGACCTCCATTTAATAACTAACATCTTTGTCCCTCACACACAAACAGCTGGTATGCTTCCAATTTCACATGTGTATGAAAGACAAATTAGGAAAGTTTTCCTAATTAATCCTTCCTTTACTTCCAATATTGTATTTCTGTGGAAAGAATGGCACAACTACAGATTAACGTGAGGGAATCATTTTCCCACTGTCTTCGATATGCCAGGCACTGAACATCTCTTAGTAGCTGTTTCTATCCATTTACATTTCATTATTTATGCCCAACTAGATTGTAAGTTCCCAGAGGATAGGAACAGGTTTTATCTGTATCCCTCTGGCACCTTTTAATAATGATGCTAATAAATATGCTTTACATTTGATTAGCAATTATAACCTTTCAAATTAGTTTCATGGTTATTAGCTCACTGGTTATATAATTTCACTATTTTACAATCAATGAGAATGGGACATAAAATTCTCTAGGGAATAGTCCATGGATTACACAAATGGTACTTAGTAGACTGTGTATTCAATATGCAGAGACTCACTAAATCCAGTCTTACAAGCCTAAAATGGCTTGCCTGATTGCAAAGTCTGTTTGCGACGTTAACGAATAAAAGTTGTTGTAAAGAATAAGAATTGTTGAATGCTGTAGGAGACACCACAAAGAAGTGAATCAGTTAAAAAAAAAGTGTTCAATTATAATAAAGCAGCAGGAGAATGTAAGAAATCGTGTAGTTTCTACAAGAGATTAACTTCATTTTGTAAGGTCTTCACCTCTTATTAAAGAAGTAAAGTTGTTTTTAAAAGACAATAAAATGTAAAGGAAAAGCCTTAAGACTAACTTCTACGTTCTAAAAGTCAAAGCATTTTACCTCATATGAATAAGACCACAAAAATATTTTCTACAACTTTACCCCCCCCCGATTGGGGAGGTGCATAGCCGTATAAATAACAGCACTGCAAAACATACGTGTTTATCTACCTTTCGGCCGAGCCGAAGGGAAAAAAAATACCCTATGCCAAAGTCAGCTGATCTGAGGTCATCCAAGCCTAAGGAAGTCACCCCTTATCCAGCCACCCGTGCCAATTTCTGCGCGCGACTGTTAAGTGCAGACTCTGGTCTAGGCCCTGGAGGGAAGGGTCCAAATCTCAGCTGCTGGTGTGAATCTGTGCCAGCGGGGCAAAAGGGGACAAGTGAAAAGATCTGAAAAGCCAGAAATGATTTCCTTGTCATTGGGTCTTTTCTTTCAGCCTTTAGCTTCTTTCGCTCCCAAATTTAAGAAGTGATGGCATTTAAATAGAAATGAAAATAAGAGGAAAGGTTAAGTAAGACGACACCAGCCAGGAGACAGATCACCGGTGTCCAAACCATCCTTCAACCACGTGACTGGAGTGAGAGGGAGCGGGGAGCGACCCCCCAGGTCTGGGAAGAGCTCTTTGAGTGTTGAGTGCCGGCCTCGGAGGAGGTGGGGAGCGGGAGCTGAGGAGGTGGGGAGCGACTAGATGTCCAGAAGAGGGCGGGAGGTCTCCAGGCCCCAGGCGCCCCTGCGGACTTGCCCCGGCGCCTCCTCCAGCTTTTCCAGCCTCTGCTGTGTGCCGAGCCCCGGGCAACGGGACCGAGCCTCTCCCGGCACTTCCTCTGCAGACAGTGCTGGCGAGCCGCCTCCGAGCTCGGGGAGCCGGGACTAGAGGATGGTTGGTCCCGGCCAGAGGTACCTGGGACAGCCCAGCGCCAACCAGCCTGGGAGACCACCCGGGCGGTGGAGAGGCCAGCGCAGAGGACCCACCGGCAGTGAACTCTGTGCTCTCCTTCCCCAAGCAGCACAGGGCACAACAGCGTGCGGGCTCGAGCCGCGCACACACTTTTAAATCTCAACCGGGAAGAATAAGATTGCTTCCAATGTTTTGTTTAGCCAGAGAGTGAAAACGGAGAAACTCAAGTCTGTTGGCATCTTCCCTCGCCCCGCCCTACCCCTACCTTTTTACTTTTGAAAAGGTAGAGGATGGAGGGAGCACCCCTTTTCCTCTCCACTACCCTCTCTTTCCTGCCCGCGGTCTCCACACACCCTTCACTAGCCCAGCTTGGGAGTTAGCACAAAGTCCGCCAGGGAGACCTCAAGAGCTCCTACATTAAGCACCATTAGAACACTGGCTTGTAAAAGATGGAAGTAGAAAGTAAATACACACACACACACACACACACACACATTATAACGCACATATATAAACACACTTTATAATTATACTGCTAACCGCAGTATAATGAAAATTCACCAGTCCTTGTTTGTTCCCAAAGGACATCTCTACCTCACTGTTTATAAGTCTTTTAAGCTCTAGTAGGTCTAAAGCAAGCAGGGATTCCAGACAATGTTGTCCCTTCTTACCCTCCGTGCTGTAGAAACTTTACTTTCATCCCCAAAGGCCTAATGACCCAGAGGAACCCTAAACCAGGGGCCTGACTATGGACCTGCTCTCTCCCATCCTGGAACTGGAAAGCAGTCCCGGATCAGAGGCTGAGCTGAGTACCCTAACTACGTTTGGTTGTTGACAAAGGGAGGGGGGAGTAGAGGAGGGAAACGGAAAGAAAAAACGGAGGGGGGGGGAGAATGTGTTCATTTACACATTTCCTGTGCAGAACAAAAAAGTCCCACCATCAGCAAAAGAAGTCTTTTCCTCCAAAATAGCAGCCAAAGAGGGAGAATTAGAATATGCATAAAATTCCTTCATTTTCATTTGCACAGAGCATGATTTCCGGCGCATTCGTATGTAAGCTGCACGATTAATACCAACTCCTAAACAGTATTTCACTTAGCATTTTCCCAAAACTCACCTAAAGAAAATTACTGTCTTCCACAACCTACTTTGGGAGCCACCCTTTTCCTATTCTGTCTGCCAATGAGAATTCCATTGATTAGGTTCTAAGTCGGGTTCCCTGGCCATCCTTTTGTCTTTAACTGCACTGGTACACTGAACCACACTTCACTGAAAGCTAGCCGGCTGTGAAGCCAGGAGTGCAAGTCACAGCTTAATAGAAAGTATATTTTAGAAATATGCATAAAAGACAATAAACATGTGAGGATAGGTAGATGTTTCCACATACTCTCATGTCACAAAAATCCTTCCTATTCTACTCTAATTAGCAGTAACTAAGATGTTTGCACATAGACACCCCTGAGAATCAGTCATCTTCAAGACTGAAGGAGAATTGCTCAGCCTTACTCAGTGTTCTTCACAAATATTCAGCCTAAGAGCCCACTAAATCCCCACAGCATAACCCAATTGTTTCCTTTCGTCACTAGTTCAAGTGATGTGATCGCAATCTTGCTTGAAAAATTCTATGTTAGAAAAAATGTTAGCATCATTTGAAATAATCCATTCCTTTTGACATGGCCTTATTCTACTTGTGAAAAACATACATTTCTTTAATTTACTAGACCACGGTTAATGGATGAAACTTGTATGTATTGGCTTAAAGAGTTTCCAGAAAACTCCACTGTAATGCCTCACTCCTCCATATCCCAATATGGAAAGAAAATCTATATTTGCTCATAATATAAAGAGGCATATTCAGTGATTTTTCTCCAGGATCTGCAGATTTCAAGTAAATCTCAATTACTGGTACTGAAAGCAATGCCAATATTTGTTTGACTTTTAGATTTTGTAGAATAAGCAATTTTTGATGCACTTGATTTGACATATATGTTGTGAATGAATAAGCATATAAATATATGGTTTCTGTTGGCTAAAGATTTATTGAAATATTAGGCTATAGAAAATTATTCATTTAGTGAAATGGGTTTTTTAACTTTACAGCCACAAGAGTTTCTTGCACAGCTGTTACCACTGTAAAAATAATTGCTCTCAGTTTTTATTTACATCAAATATCATCACTACAGAATCACTAAATGTAGTTTCCCTTGATTGTTCATGTCTGTGTTGGTTCCAGAGGTCTCAGTCATTTAAAATAAAATACAAAGTATTAAAAAATAAGTTTCCCCCAAACCATATTTAGGGAGTGCGTGTAACAGAATTGTGAGTCACGTTTTCTAGTGATGCTGACTTCCCTTAATTTTCTTACTGAAGCAAATAGTAGTGTGTTTCTTAATAAAACAAACAATTCAAACAAGAATCGTGGTGACAGATTATTATCCTTAAAACATTATTTTGGTTTTAATTAAGTTAAATTATGGGATATTCTTGTTATGATTTTGTTTTGCAGGAGGACATTTACAGAAGAATTGGGGCGAATTTAGTGGGAGATATTAAACTCCAAGCATGGAGAAATTCTGGGGTGGGGTGCCATAGAAGTTCAGATCAATACCTACTGACAACCAGACCTGCTTCCCACTACAGACTTACCAAGCTGGGTGAGAAGTGAGCACCACTTCAGTGAATATAGTCTCTGGAAGCTTCTCTGTCCTTGCTGATCTTTAATGAAACAATGTTCTCACAAACTGGAAGTGTTTCCATTACAAGGAAAAGGCTAAAAAAAATTTTATAAAGTGCTCAGCTTCCTTCCCATAAAAAGCAAAGATCACAAAGAACTGAAGCAATGGAAGTTTTGCCTCTCTCCCTCCCTCCCCCCCCCACACACACCTTGCCTCCTTCTCTTAATGTCTCTGTGGTGGATTGGGTTGAATTTGAGTTTGAAGGAAAGAGCTCACCAAAAAAGTTTCCAGAGCACAAACCAGCTACTGATCTTTATGGCTTTGATTTTGACCTTTTCAGGAGTCCAGGCTCTGCTTTCTCGCACATCTCCAAGGGCCACACCAGCGCAGTAAGGTTACACACCCCCCCTTACACCAAACCAACCCACTTGTCTCTATTCTTCTCTCCCACAACTGCCCTTCCTTTCCTAACCAGCTTCTCTATCTTCCTCACAAAAGGAGGCAGTTATAAACTACCTGCTTCAGGACTAACACCCGCCTGATAAGAAACAAATCTAAACCCATGCCCTTCCATTCCTTTCATATTATTTCATTTCCCTTTTTGTGGGGGTGAAACTGGGCCACGTGTGGTCTGAGAAGATGGTAGACTATTACAGGTGGATATCTGCTTCCCATCTAGGCCCAGGACCTACTAACCATTTGCTCATCTAGCACATACACACCTCATAGAAGCGTCCCTTGCACCTGAAGAAATGGGCTTTGCTTTCCTAGCTAGAAGGCCACTACTGAAGACTACCACCATTCTCAACTTCCTTGACTTAAAAAAAAAATGGCGACTTGCCTACTAACCAGAAGCAATCTAGGCAGCAGGTCATCCAGTTCTCTACTCAAGAACCCTTCATGTATCTACTTCTGTTCTCATTTCCCTTCTGAGCCAACTGCTTTAAAAAGGACATGATGAAGGATGAATACAAAAGTGCTGGATGACATTTGCAAGGGTCTACCACTGTAGACGAAGAATCTTCCTTGAGAAAGCTGAGTATAGCAGGACAGGAATCATTCAATTAACCAGTAAAATGTGACATCGGAGGAACATTCAACTGCAGCCATGAAACACAAACTGGAGGCTAAAATAGGTTCTGTTTTCTTCCCGTTGGCCTTAAGTTTATTTTGAAGTTAATTCTGCTACTGTTACTTACACTGTTCTTATTAACAGTTTATTTATCATTATTGTTGCAGGTTTTGTTGTTTTGTTGTTGTTCTAGCTATTAGATTATTCACCAGAAGTTTAGGAAGATTAGTTAAATTAATTAGTTTATTGGTAATTTAAAGCTGAAAACTAGTAATTAAGCCAAAAACTATAAATGATCAGGGATGAATCATACCAGTGTAGGATTTGGAAGGAAGACAATCTAAATTTTGGGCACTAAATTTTGCAGCTGTGAAATAAGTAGGACTTGGAAATCAAGACTGTGATAACTGAATGATACCTTTTAGTCACCCAACCACTTTCCCCCCCAATTCATCTCTGATCTGTTTGTTAAGATTAAAAAAAAAATCAAGCAAAGGCAAAGATCCCATGAATGGTCCCCATGTCATCAGATTTTTCACATTTATTCTCTGTACCCAGGACCATCTCTCCCCTCCAAATCAGCCCTTTGCATCTCTTTGCTCTTACTTTGAGTCTCTAGGAAAAGACTGGAGACAAGGAGAGAACTTTATCCCTCTCAGGCACACTCTAGGACATAAGTTTGGCATGGCAATTCTCTCTACAGCAAGCTCCTGCTCTTTCAAATATAATTAATGTTTTGATAGTATAGTTCTTTAACCACATCTATACACATAAAAACAGATGCACCCTCCAGCTTTGCTGCTTGTGCAACCCAAACAAAAATGGGTGCATTCTTTAAATCAATCAGCACACAGAAGATAACTACAGTCCAAATATTGTCAATTTTTATTAAATTTCACTTAAAACCAAAGGATATTCTGGATTGGTAGTCTGGTACAGAACTTTACTACATACTAGGAAAAATCGCCAAACCCTTGTTTATCTTTTGAAAAATCAATAAAGAGCTTAGAATTTTAATATCTTTATTGTATACAGGTGAGGCTAAATTGACACATATGTGTAAAAACTAGTAACTATGACAACTAAAGTATAGTGACTTAGCTAAGCATTGCTTACTTTGTCAAATACCTCAGCTCTGTGTTTTGGGTCAATTAGTTCACACAGTTGCTATTAGTTATAAATAAACATATGTGACATAGATGGTCAGAAAAACAGACATGAAGATATGTGTCTAACAACATAGGGGTTAAGTGAACAAATCTGAGCTTCCATATTTATGTGTTCTTAGTACTATATTCTTAACATTTCATCTTTCTATACCAACTGAAATGTTAAGAACTGATAACTATACAGACCGTGGGATATGACATGCTTGCCATCTTCAATAAAGAAATGCATAACACTGAATTCAATACACATATCAAACTTCATTTCCCTACAACATTATGGAACAGAGAAATTGGGTATGATATCTGAATATATCTAAAGTACAGGCAAGGCAAAGAGACATCTTATACATTTCTCTCCTCTGCTAACTTTTAAAAAGGAATGTGCCAAAGATTCTGCTTTTCATAAACATCTTGAAGCTTACTTTCTTCTCTTATTTAATATTTCAAATTACAAAAGAAGATAGGAGGAACAAGGGAGTCCATGAAAGTGATTTTAAGTGGATCTTTTCAAGAATTGCGAGAAACAAAACTGCTTTTGACTGGAGTGTGATTCCTGAGAAACCCTAATCTTTGTCGTTGTTTTAGAGAGGACCCATTGGCATTCTTTTATGACTTTTCCTTGAACAGAGATGTGGGATTGACCCTTCTTCCCACTGATTAACATGCAGACATTACATATTAGTTAATTTTCCAACAGAAAAGCCCTCACAGGTGTACAGACTCTGTATTAGAATGGGAATAAACTCCCATCTCAGTCGTCTGGGCATAGGCAACTGAAGGAAGAGTGTCTATGCTATTGATCACCAAGGGTATGTGAAATATGATGCACAAGTTCTCCACCAGAATTCCTGATGTGTCCTTATTTCTCTCCTTGTATCTCCTTTTTTTGTTGTTGCTTTGTGTCTATTTTATTTTATTTTCAGTTCGAAATGACTATGAGTCTCCAATGAGGTTTTGTTTGGGTCTGGTTAATATTAAAGATCACACACGGCTTAAAAATATTGTTATTTTTCTTTAATGGGGAAAATTGGACTCCTGCATGTCAGATCTGTGGATTTCCGAAAGGCAGTGGGAATGGTACTGACATCACTTTGCACTTTAACAATCCGATTTGGTCAGAGTACAAGTTGTTTGTTTAACCCGACCACTCGGTGCACCCCATCGCACACTTTGCACACTCATTAAAACGATTATTCACGACCTGTCGAGTGTTTTCGGGTTCATTCACAGGAAAGGCTTGTATCCAGAGAGCAATTCGAGTCAACACTGTCCACTACACCACGCACGTGAGGACTAGCTGGTGCATGCGTGAAAGGCTAGGGGAGGGGTTGGTGAGTGAGTGTCTTGGCTGCAAAATCCCGTTCAACGCGAGACACCAAGGAATCTCAACCGCCTTAGAATGCTTAGAGCTAGCTCTTGGTTCCCCGACACTGCTACTTCACTACCTAGCTTCAAAGACTTCACAAGGAAAAAGAAAAAAGAAACAAATAAAGGTAGACCTCCCTGCCACCTTTTCTTTTTCAACCTTCTGCATACTTTAGATCCTAGTGTTGCTGTGCCCCTCTTCTCACCAAGGACAACTACTGAGAAAAAAGGGGATTCCCTGTCCACCTTCCCAGGTCCCTTTGACCTCAGGGGAAAAAATGCAATATATTTGTTTACTGTGTACCTTGCATTCAGTAGAAGGAATGAATATGAAAATAAGATCCTTTTGGTAGTTGTAGTCCCAATAGTTAAAGAGGAAGGACTACTCCACCATACTGAGAAAATTTTTTCAGATTAAATACTAAATATTACTCAACAAAGTAGGCCACTTTTGTTCTTGTTTTTCAATTTTCAAGTAAGGTTTCAATCTTTTGGAATGACAACAGAGGACCAACATTGATGTATCTCAAGCCCTACTCTTGCCTTGTACTTAGAAGGAACACACTGACTCAGGCTTTTCCATTTTGTTCTGCAATGAATCCTGGTACATACTATCCATGTGCTGTATTATTGCAAGAGGCATGGCTATCTCCAAAAGCTGTAATAACACATGCACACCAATAGGATACATGTGTACAAGTATTTAATATATAAGAAACCATAATAGTTTTTCTGCATAAGGACCCCTGCCATATATAAGAGCCTGCACTTGCTTTACAGTAAGTGTCCAATATCTACATTGAAATGATTCCGCCTTGGTTTTTTATACAAAGCACTGCCAAAACCTCATGTCTGGTTTATTTTTGTGAGGCTAATCCAGCCATGCCAATTGAAAATTATATCTTATTCAAAAGTTTCACTCTATTAAACCTAAGATCATGAAACCATGTATCTACCTTATCGAAACACATTAATACAATGTACGAGGAAAGGAATGGAAGCTTTCAAACAGCATGAGGTTTTAAGCAGAAGCGGGCTTCTAATTGCTAGCAGACAAGTATGAATAAACAGTTTTATAAACTGGTCACACACCCAGCATCTAAAGTGTATCTATGAAATGAACCGGCTATATGTGCTTTACTTCCTATGATAAACGCTTTCATTAAAAGCAATGTGTGATAAAAAATAAAGTAGGACACTCTGAAATATGGAAGCAAATATCTGAAACCTCTGTATAAATAAACACAAATCAATGTAGTAATACATAACACTATTGATACAGAAACGATCAATTTTAGTCCTCCAACCCGCAATCAGAGTTTGCCATGTTTAATTAACAGTATTTGTTTTCAGAAAAATATAGATAAGAAAGAAACAAGCAATACTTGCTATCAATTATATCTGGTTCTACTTAATTGTTCCCAGAACATTTTTGATGAGGTCGGCAGACTACTCTTTTTTTTTCTAAGAAAGCTTTGCCAACCTTTAAAAGCACATTATTAATTATAGAAATTATCAAAGTATTAAATAATAAAATTACCACCTTATTCTTGCTCTGAATTTCTCAACCTTCATCCCAGTCTCTAATTATTCATTCAGAATATTTTAATAGGACACACAATAGTACTTCTTATTTTCAAAGTTTTCTCAAATGCTTGAATACTATTGGGTTTAAAGATTCCTTAGCTACCCCTTATATTAAACAAGAAAGCTGTTGATCTCCCAATATGCCATGAAAGCCTTCTCTCCTGACCATATATAAGCTTTATCGAAGAAAAAAGGGGAGAAATCTGCACTATTTCAAGACTGTTTCTTACCATGAATGTAAAATGAACACATGTCAGATTCCAAAAAAAGCAATATTTTAGACTCCTAGAATTTACATCTAAAACAATGTTGCAGCTTTTCCTACAGTCAATTTTTCTTTTGTGAGACATTATTAGCCGCCAGGGTGTGTGATCTCTTTCAGACTTGGCCTCTGGACAGTAACGTAACGGGAATTGTGTTTGTATTTTTCATCTACAGAAATGCTCATCCACATTCATACTTGAGTCTAGGTTTCTCAAGCACAAGTTCTAAAAAAAAAACATTCAAATTTATAAAGCCCAATTATTTTGGGAAAAAATTTCATCTTTAACATCGCTGCACATAAGCCTTGAGTCAGACTGTTTTTACAATAGTGTATATTCAAGAATTTTCCTTGACTCCTGTCAAACCCACCTAGGAACAAGAATTCAGGGGCAACCAGACCCAAAAGGAAAATATCATCAGTTATTGTTTAGGGCTAATTTAACAGATAATTTAACTTCAAACAACAATGATTAGGTCATTAAATTTCAGAGTCATGAGAAAATGAAAGAACCCACGGAGACACAATTCTCTCTAACCCCATTACAGTTTCCAGTCTTCCTCTTCAATCAAAGGAATTAAAACAAACAAACAAATAAACAAAATTTGCCTATGCGGGGAGATACCACGCTCCTTAAGGCGCACAAAGAGAGAAGGAATAAGAGAAGGTGGCTATTTCAACTCCGGGATGCTAACAATATAGGAAAACCCAACTCAAGCCGAAAATGAATATCTAAACCTGTAGTTATTGAACAGGTTCTTTCATACCCACCAGAAGCAACAAATCTCGCCTAGAGCTATTTGCTCTTTCCTCCTATGCGGCTTTTCCGCGATACTAAATTTAGTTAAATGCTGAGGGGCCTGTGGGAAAGGTGTGGGACATCTCTGCTGACAGTTTCACATACAGAATTCTGAATTATTTGTTGTGATCTTAAGTAATTCCTCGGATCTCGGTCTTGGAATTTCTGCCTATTTTAAGTTTTTCTATAGGGCTAGGATGTAGCGGTGTGGAGGCTCAACCAGGAAGCCTAACTGTTGGAAGAGGGAGGTGGGAGGTGCAGGTGGAAGCACCGCTCTCTGCATCTCTCCTCATCTTTTTCTGTCCAGTTCTCCCGAAAGGAAGATTAATTCCTAACAAACCGCCGTGCTTCTGCGGCAATCTGCTCCCCAGCCCGCTTTCTCTCTCCAACTCCAGGCTGCTCCTCTCGGTCAAGAAATTCCTATCCGGAGGCTCCTTCCAAAATATCCGTGGAGTGGGCAGAAACGGGGAACCAGACAGAAGTGATAGAGGGCTATTGTAACATCAGTTTTACCAACCACCGGGTGAGTCCTGAGATCTGAATCTGCACCTGGCAAACAAAGACTAACAACTTCTAGGGAGAGGTGGAGCGATCAAAGAAGTCCAAGAAGAAAGGGAAAGGTTTGAAACCACAGGGCCTCAGCTCCGGAGGCCAGTTCCCCACGCTGCGACCGTGTCCTGGGCTATAGCGCCCTCGCGTTGCTGCTTGCCGGCAGCGCGGCTTGGCTCCCTAGGCAGGGAGGCCGGTGGCGGTGATCCGAGCGGGTGTCCACACCCGTAAGCCCACCGCTGTGCGGCCCCAGATAGCTCAGCGGTTGGTTCCGGTCCATGCTCTGCTGTTAGTCCCAAACCCGAGACCCACAGCGCCAGCAGACCCCGGCCTCTCTGCTCAGAGTCCAGCCCGGGCTCCCCATCCAAAGTCAGCCCGAATCCGGAGAGACGCAGGGCAGGACATCCCGACACCGTAAGTCGGGCCTCTCAGGAGTTTCGGAAGGAGCCAGCCAGAGGCTGGCGAGCTCACAGCCACCCTGGGATAGCCAGGCTCTGGAGCATAAAGCGCCGGCTCTTAAGTGTGTATTAAAAATCAATTATTTGCCTGAGATTTCCAGAGCAGGGAACTGAGGTATTCCCAGTAGGGACGAAGTCAAGCTCAGAACGGTGCTCATTTCCCTAGTTTTTCCAAGAGACCAAGAAGGCTCCTTCCCTTAACCGCCTGAACTAGACCTGGAGCAGATCCTCTTAATCTTGCAGAGACCCTGGCTTGACCCAGGCCAAGGAGCTGGTGAGAGAGCCCGCGTGAGTTGGCAATGGCAGTGTGAAAGTAGGACCGAGGACAGCATCACACACACACACACACACACACACACACACACACACAGAGGGGAGAGAGAGAGAGAGAGAGAGAGAGAGAGAGAGAGAGAGAGAGAGAGAAAGAGAGAGAGAGAGAAGAGAAAAGGTCGAGGGGAGGTGTATGATTATAAAGAAAGTTTCATCTTGTTGCCGAGGGTAATTTGAATGTTAAATTCCCTCGTTTTCTGAAGCAACCATGAAATTCAGAATTCCTATTTCCATTAAACGACTACTCTTCTATTTCTGAACCTGCTACATCCTCCCATTGCCCACTCCATATAAATTTGCCATCCTTTCTTCCTCCTTTGAAATATCTAAATCTTTGTTATCAAAGCATCCACCATGATTTCTGCCCACGTGGACAAATCATGCATTCTTCCACCTATGACTGTGGGAATCCACTCACTAGGAACAATTTCAAAAAAAAAGTAACACTTAAGCCTACAAGAGTCTGGATCTAAGGGTCCAACCACAGCAGCCCGTGGGACACAGTAATCACCCACCACCATCATATGAGGCAAAGAGGACTTTCACTTACCGATCCCCGGGTGAGAGTGTTCACAGTTCTCCAGTCCTTTCCTTTGGCAGCCTTCCGACAACATCAAGCAGAACCTTGGGTTGGGGGTGGGGGCACCGAATCGGGAGGGAGAAAGACAAAACATAACACTACAGTCATATATATTAGCAGCCCAGAACCCCTGGGCCTACCTTTCCAGGACAAGGTCTTCAGGAACCGAGGGATGGAGTGAGGAAAAGGGTCAATTTAGGAGTTGAAGACTAAAAGATGGCTATTTTTAACTGTGGTTGGGGGAGGAGTTCGTGAAGGAATGGTAGGGCAGGACAATTGGGTGGAGGAAAAAGCGGGAAATCGGAAGCAAAAGAAAACTGAAAACGGAGTTTTCAACTAACTGAAAGATCACTAACACCTTTAAACTCTTACAGGTAGGAAGAATAAGGGAATGTTTTTGTGAGACAGAATCTAGAGGGCCCCGTTTTCCTTTTGTAACTCCAGGATCTGTCCTTCAGTAGAAGCACAATGAAAGAGTAAAGTAAAATTCAGTGTTCACCTACCCTGCTTCTTGGAAGGGCTGCGCAGATTTTCCTTTGGAGACTTCCATCACTCTGGCAGAAACTGGAGTGGTGCTGGGGGCAGGTTATCTGCTGAAGTAGGAATGTACAGGAACCCCGCCCTCTAGGCATGGTTACACAACCTCAGCAGCCTGGTCTCAACCAGCTCTGAAACCTCCAGCTCTTCACCTTCACCCTTTGTTAACCTAATTTTCCAGCAGGCTTTATCTAAAAGCAACCAACTACGTTAGCTGTTCACAAAATGAGCGTATTGAAATTGAAGTTATTTCAATGCATGCAAATTTCTTAGTGAGAGAGTAAAAAAAATACACGCTGTAAAAAATCATATTTTATATATAATTCTATGATTTACCCATCTATTGGGATAAAATATGTACCAACTTGCATACATATTTTAATAAATAAACTTCAAGACAGATTTTTTTTTTCTTCCTCTCTGCCCTTCCTGTGATTCCAGTCATACAGACCACTGGAGAAGTACTTTGACTCTACGCACACTCGTGTTGAACAGTTCAGACTTCCTTGATTTCCAATTTGGCAACTAGATGAAGAAACTCCCTCGCTGCTGCATTTTATATCATTCCTCTGTTTATGTGTTAACGATCGTGCTAACTTTCAATTATGTCAATTAAAGTAAAATACTCAACGTGTACTATTATCATTTGGCATTTCTATTATTAAATTGGGATCATTTTCTTTTCCAAAATTAAAAAAAGGGGGCAGCCTCCCTTTCATTTTAAGCAATTATAAGTTTGAAAGAAAATAATCTTCAAAAAGTTTTGAAGTGTTGGTCTGGAATGAACTAACTGTAACCGGTAAAAGTTGGTGACAGTACACAGTAAAACATTGTATCCACCAGTCTGAAGCAAAATTAAATGTACCAATGCCATACCAGATTGTTATTTTTCAAAGAGGATATCAAGGGGAGAGTAGGCTAGATCAAGATAAATGAAATAAGAAATGTTCACACATTGGGCTTCAGAAAGCCGTTACCAACTTCTCTCTCTATATATATATTTTTTCATGTCTAGGAAGCCTAACAAACAAACTTCCAATAGCATCACTACATTTGTAAATCAGACATGTGCACACTTCTGCTCCAATACCTAGGTCTAGGAACACAAAAAGTCACCTTCACTGTGTACCTGAAAGCACAAAAAGTTGCCACTGAAATTGTCTATCTTCTAAATAAACAGTTTATAAAATCACAGATAAGAATGAATTTACTTTGGCCAGAGGGAAAGCACACATAAAAATGTTTCTTCGTTATCTTTATCTTTTAGCTCGACTGTGTGAATTCAGTTTTCTTTTCAACTTTTGCAATCCTGTCTTTCCCCTGTGGTAGTATATACCCATGCCATAAACCAACCCCAAAGCAGAAGCAAGCAATAAATCATGCTCTTTTCCCCCAGCCTAAATGCAGGCCTTTCTCTGAGTTAGTTTGCTTCCCAACTGTGCAATGAATCTTTCCTTTCCCTAAGCCCACGCTGGCCTTCTAGTTCTTTAAAACAGTAATTTGGGGTTCTTTCGTTTGTGGCTCACTATAATCAACTGTTAGATTTCAGGAAACTTCAATCTATGTTGAATCTATTCTCTCATTAACGAATCTTGTCTCTCTAAAGGAGACTATCAAACTAGCCATCTCAGTCTATTTTTTGTCTATTCCTCTCTTTTACATTTGATTCCAGCATTTCAAATTTTCCTGGGAGCTCTCCCCCTCTCCTCCCCCTTGCTCCCCGTTCCCCTTCACTCCCCTTCTTTCTCTCTCCATTCACAATCCAGCCACCCCCATTTCCCAACACCAGCTATTCTGAATTTCAAATCAATTTTAGCCAAGGTGCTTCTTCACTAGTCACCCCACACACACACTTCCCTGAGCAAGTCTCTAAGTGTTTGCTGATAACATCATAGGGACAGATTATTTTTCACTGGGCCCATTGTAAGAAGTAGCCAGCTTATTGTATTACTGCAGAACACATTTCAGACTATACAAATGTAACAAATGAACAACTTGTCTTCCACAGAATCACACAGGATCCAATTAATTACTAAACCTTTAACTCAGGTTCTCTAATTATTTTCTGGAAATATAGCAAGTGGGCTGTCTGAAACAACTTGAAAAAGTTTTCGCTTTGTTTCTCATATATGCATATATATACATACATGCACTATATCTCATATATATGCATGTTGTGTCTAAGGCAAAAAAATGATTCAATGTAAGCAAAAGAAAACACATCTGTAAATTAAATCACACACATATATTGAAAAGAGAATCAAACAAATACCTCTATGTTGTAAAACTGGAGAGGGAAGATAGAGGGTCTTACTCTGAATAATGAGAAGTTCAAGCTGTTGTAATTAAAATTTAAATCTCAACATTTGTGAGTCGTTACAACAGGTGATCACTGCAGCAAACTCTACATTGCAACTCAGAACATCTTTATTAGAATTCGTTCAGTGTGGGTCAACAGCCACAAAAATAAATGCTGACTGAGAAAGGATAAATACAAATATTTAAACAAAAAGAATGTTTGCAGCATTCAGAGCGCAAATTGTACCTGAACGGAAGGGATATATATGCATATATACATATGTATATGTATATACACACATATATAATGTGTTAATTATTCACTTCGAACTAACTATATATACATATTTAATTATAATTAGCCAAGTTCTATAAACAAGATACTTGCAACAATATATATAAAGGGCATTCTATCAACTGAATTTAATATAAGCACAGAATAAACAGCTATGCACATAAAATTGAATATCTTTTTTGCTGTATATCTACAAAAACAAAGATATCAGCTGAAAAGCCTATGTTTCATTTAAAGCTAGTATTTATAAAGTAGCCTGCTCCTGGCAAAATCTGTTCACAAAGGGAAAAAGGATACTATTCTCAGTTTTCATCTCAGTTGAAATTAAAGGAGCATTTTAAACTCCAACTTGGCTAAAAAAAAAAAGCCTTCGAATTCTCTATAAATCAAATGGTATTTTTGCAAATTAGCTCTACTTAATAAAAGAGACAAAAATATCAAGATATATATGAATTTAGCCTATTTTTATTTCTGTGTGTTCATAGTAAACATTTTTGTAAGTGACAAACACGGGCATATGACCACAGTATCACAATCAAGAAATTTTAAGACAACATTAACAATCACTCAAATTGATGCGGCATTTGCGCAACACAGGTTACATATTTGCAAGGTTTACCTATAAGTACAATAGGTATTAACATTTCACTACATTTAGAAAAAATAAAAGTGACCTGTTAGTGACCACATACATCGAAATATACACAACACAAACTGAAGGCAATCCTTAAATTTGTCCCCTTCCGATTCAATTGAATGGGCAGTGTTGCCAACTAAACAACTTTCCTTTTTCGCTTGTTTGTTTGTTTTAATACTTAGTATACCAAGTGCATTTGCTAGAATCCAATCTTTGGTCTAAAAGTAAACAAAAGGTAAAAACAGTTCTTTAAAGAAAAGGACAAAACAATAAATGGCCAATATAATTTCTTGGGCACCTTTACTACAAATTCTTAAATACAAATTACAGTGTAACATTTTTAAACTCTCTCCATAATTTAGGTTGTTCTCAAGGCCTGCGTCCACCAGATAACTCCATGACAACTTATAATACTGCACACATGGAAATCTGGCAGCCCTTTGAGATAGGCTTGTCAGGTTTGAATGAAATGGCAAAGCAGTCACTATTTAGATACACATTCTACTATAATTTGACGTCCAAACCTTATATTCTACAATGTATTCTCCCACATTGCACCTCGCTGACACTCCACACCTTGTTAGAATAGTAAACAATCCTAAAGACTGAACAAACGTACAGAAATGGGGGGAGGGCTTAATAAAAAATACCTGGACTTATTTTTTTAATTATCATTTACAATGCAAATGTGTGTAAAACGTTCACTTACAGTCTGGTCCCCGGGATGTTAATGTATTAAAGGGTTGGAAGAAGACCCCTGATTTTGATGTGTGAAATAATCAGACAGTCCCCCGGACAGTCCTGTCGTAAAACTTGGCAAAGAGGGTCTTAAGGACTCACAGGGCAGGGTCGAGGGGGCCTGCGGCGACGTAGAGGAGGACGCGGCCCGGGCGCTCATGGACGTGCTGGTCTGCGAAGTCATTGACGGGTGCGGGACGTGGGGGAAAAAGTAACTTGTCTGGCCCGCGAGCAGGTTGACGGAGCAGGGGTTGAGGGAGTAGGTCCCGGAGCAGGGCACCGACAGGCCGCAGGGCACGGAGGCGGCGAGGGCGGCGGCCGTGAGGTGGTGTGTGGCGTACGGGATCTCCCCGTTGACCAGCCGGTCCACGCTCAGCCCGTTGGCGGTCGAGAAGGAGTGGTTGTTGCCCAGCGAGTTCTGAGTCAACACGGAGCTGTAGGGCATGGGGTGGCTGGGGTAGGCCGACGTGGTGCCGTTGTAACTCAAAGTGCTGCTGGCGCGGGGGTGGTGCAGGGACAAGAAGGGCGACATGGGCCAGTAGAGGGAGCCGGCGCGGTCCATGAAGGTGAGGCCGGTGGAGGTGAGGCGCGCCCCGCGCTTGAAGGCCAGCTTGGCCCGAGACGTGGTGGAGCGGCGTCGCAGCTTGCCGGTCGTGCCGCCGATGAACACGTCGTCGCTGGACGGGTCCAGCATCCAGTAGTTGCCCTTGCCCGGGTCGTCGTAGTGGCGGGGTACCTTCACGAAGCACTTGTTGAGGGACAGGTTGTGGCGGATGGAGTTCTGCCAGCCCTGCTTGTTCTCGCGGTAGTAGGGGAAGTTCTTCATGATGAACTCGTAGATGCCGTTGAGCGTCAGGCGCTTCTCCGGGCTCTGCCTGATGGCCATCATGATGAGCGCGTTGTAGCTGAACGGCGGCTTCTCGTACTTGCCGTTCTTCTTGTCGCCCTCCTTGCCCCCCTCCCCGTCCTTGCCGCCCTCGCCCGCCCCCTTCTTCTCCTCCCCCCCGGCACCCGCGCCCTTCTCCTTCTCGTCCGGTCCGACGGGCGCCAGCTCGGCCGGCCCACCGCCCGGTTCGCCTTTGGCTCCCAGAGCGTCGGCCTTGGCCCCGTCCAGGGCGGCGGGCGGCGGGAGCAGAAGCGGCTGTGGGCCCTTGTCGTCGTCGGCTGCCGGGGCGCCTCA